TTCACGATGCCCCACGTAGCAATGCATGTGCATTTTGTTTCGGCTTAAATAAAGGGACTAATAAGCTTGCCTCGTCAATATATACAAGTGTTTACAAACAAAAAAAACTCGTCCAAGTAAGGCTCAAAAACTGCTACCCAAATTTTGAACAAAAATCATCAGACAGCAATAAAATAGTGCTAAAATAGGTCTCTTTTTGTTTATTACAGTTTAAATAGATGTTTTAGAATAAGTAAGAAATGGCGCGCGTATCAACTTGAATTAACTTTCCTCTTTAATATAATAAAGGCTAAAGGTTATAACGCGTGTACCTAAAAGGTAAATAAAGTCTCGGCCTTTTAGGCACACACGTTATAACCTGGAGCCTTTATTATAAAACTTTATTATAATTGACAATCTGGCCTTTATTATAAAACTTTATTATAATCGACGATCTGCTGTAGCCCTTATTATAATTGACGCTGCCACCACAGCCTTTAAGTTTTCTCTTAGCTGTTATATTATAGCCCGAGTTAGCATTTTATTATTGAAGATATTCTATACCGTGAATATTTTACTGCTTTTGGTCGGAAAACCTCGGAATCAGAATGCACTATTAAACCGCGGTTAGCTTCTTTCCGATGCGTGGGCTAAACCGCAAAAAAACCGCCCGATAACCGCACGTTAACCGCTCGTTAACCGCCCGATAACCGCACGTTAACCGCACGCTAACCGCAAAACGACCGCAACCGCAGTGTTAGGTTAATTCTGAGCGTGTTTCTGTTAGGTTAATTCTGAGCGTGTTAACTCTGGCTTGTCTGTTTCTTATCCTCGTGGAAATACGGTGAGTAGCACTTGCTTCTGGAGTTTCTTGTTCTCTGATTTCTTGCATTTTTTCCCTGTTTGAAATACGGCGGGTTTCACTTGCTTCTGGACTTTCTTGTGCTCTGTTTTCTTGCATTTTTCCCCTGTTTAAAATGCGGCGGTTAGTACGTGTTTCTGCGGTCTCTTGTGCTCTGGCTTCTCTGTTTCTTATTCTCGTGGAAATATGGCGGGTAGCACTTGCTTCTGGAGTTTCTTCTGCTCTGTTTTCTTGCATTCTTGCTTTGTTCGAATCACGTCGATTTGTCATAGCTTCTTCAGTCTCTTGTGCTCGACTTTTTTGCATTTTTACTCTCATTGATTTACGGCGTGTTGTACAGTTGTCTACTGTTTCTTGTGTTCTGCTTACCTGTTTAGCTACTTTGTCTTTGGCTCGCCGCATTTCACGATCTTCTGACGTTTCTTGTTGCCGTGCCCTCCTCATATATTCGGATTGTTGCTTCCTTCTTTGGTCTTTGCTCTTACACTTAGTCCTCGGAATCGTATATGTGTATACCGCAGGCATATATTTGACATTAAACAAAAATCTCTTCAGCTTTGTATATGAAAATGTTTGTTGATGCATAAATTAAGCCAATAATATTATATTACAAAGGCAATATGTTAATGGCGTAAAGTCTTGATCATATACGCTTCAGAAGTAACATTAAACTTCACTAATTATACACTGCAGGGGTATCAAAAAGAACGCCGGTAAACTATTGATGTAATCTATTGTTATTGGGCGAGGAACTTGGTCCCCAATCGCTGCTAATCTTGTTGTTGTTGTTGTTGTTGTTGTTGTTGTTGTTGTTGTTGTTGTTGTTGTTGTTGTTGTTGTTGTTGTTGTTGTTGTTGTTGTTGTTGTTGTTGTTGTTGTCAGGGGGCGACGCTCTTTGAAAAAAACCCTAAGGCTCCAGTCATTACTTGTCCGATCGGAATCAAACTTGACATAATTATTCTAGGCAATATTCCGTATCAATTGACGGTGTTCGATTTTTCATTTTTGACTTTAGAAGCAAGATACAAGCAATTCTTGACTGTATTCCTAGCAAATAATATATACATATCATTAATATTCAGCAAATACAGGATGTATAAAAAAACGCAATTTAACCGCGGAATTTCCCAAGAAATCGACATTGTTTAAGGACAAAAGATTTTAGGTGTCTGGGAATTTAAAATAACACAACTGTCAAAATTACTGCACACGCGAGTGCATAAAGAAAAATGTATGTATTTATTTAACAGTACAACAACAGTAATATGATCTAGAGGGTGTATAAAAAAACTGAACCCTTTCAAATTCAAATTAGCTATAACGTATTGTAGTAATTTGATAGCTCTAATTGCTTTGAATTAATGATTGGGTAAGAACACGAGGAAATGAAGGAATACTGTATTTCTTTTAAATTTTCTAATTTTTATTTCTTTGTGTTTTGTCCCATGAGTACAAGACCTTGTGTTCTTATCCAACCATTAATTTAATTAAAGCAATTAGAGCTGTCAAATTACTACAATACGTTATAGCTAATTTGAATTTTAAAGGTTCAGATTTTTTTTATACACACTGTATTAGCAATTCGATTTCAATTCCCAGGGGCCTAAAATATTTTATGCTTAAGAATTGCAAAGTCGATTTCTTAGGAAATTCCGAGGTTACGTTTTTTTTTATACACCCTGTATATATCAGCAATTGTAAATCTCACTTATATAAGTGAGGCTGCTCTAAAATCGTGTGCTTTACAAATATATTAGCCAGATAGGAATTACTCCTGTGGGCTTTGAGATACTAAGAGGGGGGTAATGGGGTATTTTCGTGCTTCGTTTTAGGGTAATTTAATTATTCGTTTCTCGTTCTGTCAGTTTTTTATTAAACGTTTTTCGGTCCCGTAAATGATGACGTGCATCGTGTTTGTGGTGAATTTAATATTCGTTTTCCGTTTTCAGCGCTATCTAGCTTTGTTGACTTTGTTATTTGTCTTATTTATCGGACCTTATCGTGCACTACGGCTCTCATGTCTCTCATGAAGGTTCATAAGGGTATTTATGGGATAATAATGTACTTTGCTCGAATACCTATATGACCCCAATTGAACTTCCATCCCCCATGTGCCAGCTGCAAAATGCAAATAATTATGCAAATATGGCTGACATATCGGGTCTCAGAGTGGAATGCTCAATTAATTTTGTAAATCCAAGCGCCAGCAATAGTTTTGTGGGAGCCAAAGAGCGCTGTGTCATTTTCCTAAAAGATGATGATGAGGTAATACGGACGTTATCGAAGTTGAAGGAAAAAATCATCCAAATCTGTGGGATACGAAAAGAGGCAATCACTAGAGGTTTAGGCGAAAATGTTGAGCTAAAGATTGCGAGAACGGAGAAGACAAAAGACGGGACTAAAGCATATAACATTAATACAGATGAAATGCTAAAGCAAGAGGTACAATTAATGAGGATGGCTGGTGCAGGATCTGTGCAAGGTAGTTCAAGATAGACAAGATAGATATTTTAAACAATATAAATTAATAAATACAGTTATACAGTCATATTTCGGTCCTATTGTGTTTTCAATTGATGCGTGGATCAATTCGTACTGTTACCACCGCCCCCCAGGCAACACCCTGAGGATTTGTCATTTTTTCATTCGTTGCTAGGAAATTCCCCACCCCACACCAACAAACTCTGGCAACTTCCTAAACAAGAATTATTTTAAATTCTTCAAAATTTTCATCACCATTTTGAAATTTTGATATTTAGTTTCCAGGCTCCTACTTGCATCTTCTCTCTATATATTCCACCCTATACCCCTGGAGATAAATCTGTTTAACAATTCCCCACCCCCGGGATGTATTCTTTTGCATTGTCTGTGGGGTTCTCCGGGGGGGATGGTAATAGTATGAATTGACCCATGCATTATGTCATACATTAAAGCAAATGCCTTAAATTAAGCGAATTTGTTTTTTTTTATTTTTTAAACTTTCAGTTCAAGTCATCAAGAGAATTGTAGTATTTGCTCCAAAATGTCCTGTTATTGAAATAATTGCTGATGGCCCTGATTCATCACTGCATCCACTGACAACAAATTTACCCGTGAAAAGGAAACGTGCCATTGGCGGGGGACGAAAGAAAAAGGCCCGATGTGTGGAAGAAAGGAGCATTATATCAACACTGAAACAAGGGGGAAGTGTTGTAAGGAGTGAAGAACAACAGGCATTACTTGACACCATGCAAGAAGGTGTGTACTGTGTGTTCGGTTCTATTTAATGTATTTAAAGTCTTGAAGCCTGAAGGGCATGAAATAACTACTGATATGATCTACAGTAAATGTACTTCAAATGTATGTACATATATTGTACATCTTGACAAAAATTGACAACATAAGAACATAAAGAAGTTCATGTGCACTTTGTAATCAATAATATGGCTTTCTTATCTTACTTCAGAGTTATCCGTATCTGGTGTGGTTGAGAATGAGTTCACCATCAACTGCGGAACCTGTAGACAGTCAATAATCATTCCTACAGACAGAAGTGCTTCAAAGAGGGTTGAATATTTCAAAAATCGTAAAAAAATTGTTGTTTATTATTGTATGAGTTTAATGGGTAATTTTTGTGTTAAAGGATTAGTGTCACACCAGGAATTCGCGGGCTCAAACTCCTGTTGGCGGTAATTTTTCGGGGTGAATATTTAAACCATCCTTTTATAATGCTTGCTCTTTTTGTCTGATTCTTATCAGAAATGTACAAAACAAGGTATTTTTATCGCTATTTGTTGTATTCGAGTAAAATGTAAACAATAACAAAAGCCCACAATGCATGACCCAGACACTAATCCTTTAAGACCTTTCAGTCTGTAAACAGAATAGTAGTTGGTTTTATGAGTCAAGTACAAAATAATTTATTTTCCTATACAGGACATATTAAGAAATGCAAGAACTCTGGACGAACAAAAGCACAAGATGAAGAAAGGATGAAATCATGTCTGAAAGACTGGCTAAGTGTTCCAAGTGGGAAATCTGAAAAGAGCACCGCATCACTATCTGAGTCATCTGATGTATCAGACAATATGTATGATAGTGATGGTATCATAGAAAGCGATGATCTAGTGTAAGTCATCTTTTATAAAGACCTTAAAATAGCTAAGAATTGCAATGCGTTTGATTTCCAGTCATGGAAATTGACCTCAAGGGACTGGATGGTTTGTTTGTAACTTTGTGGTTTTGTTGTTTTTAACAGATTAGTATGTTACTTCTGTGGTATATCATTAGATAACTAATTCTACTTGGGAGACTAGGGTTTCTGAGAACTTGACAATACACCATGTAGATCATGTAGGCTACATTATATATATTATATATATTATACATATTATATATGTATAAGTGCGCAAATCTTAATGGGGGCACAAGATTCAAGCTTAGTAGT